TCGCAGACGATACGGCTCGAAAGATGTGGCTGGAAGATGGGGTCTGGGGCTCCCGTCGTGAGTGTTCGCGATATTGCAAGTTTGTTGTTGCAATGTCGGATCTCAGGAGAGATCGGCGGTGACGACGACGAGTTCAGTTCGGTTCAGCCTGCGTGCCAGCTCCTGTGAAAATGGTCCTCTGAAGCGCAGGCGGTGCTCAGGATAATAGAATACCTGCGCTGCTCTGGCTCACTGCACTGCGCGCGCTGCGACAAATGCTGCGAGACAGACGCTGCTACAGAGAGCTTGTGCAGCGTCTGGCCGAGGCGGCGACGGGGGCCCACGAAGCATAGAGCAACGAGGATACGTAGCGACGCCGGGGACGTGGACGAGGAGGACGACGAGAACGACGACGACGACGACGAGGACCACGAGGACAGCGAGGACGGCGACGACGACGAGGGCGACCAAACTCCGCTCCAAAACGGGCCCCCAGACGCCTCGACGAGGCCCGGGCCGCGCCCAGCTGCAGCGACGGCGGGGGCCCCCGACGGCTGAAGCAGGGCGAGGAGAGCGACGGCGACTCAAAAGACCCCGACCTTCCAGAGTGCTGCACAATCGCACCCCAGGCCTGTAGACCTATCTGGACTGCTTCTAAAACGTCGACTGGACTTTAGATGCCGAGGTCCTGATGCTAGGTCTTGGCCCTCCTTGCCCCTGACCTCCCAGGCGGGCCAAAACAGAGCCCGGGGGACCTCGATCTCCCAGTTCCAGTCGAGACTCCAAGCAGTCGACATAGGTCCTCAGACATCTGGCCGCTCCGATTTTTGTTCGATGCGTTGGCCCTGGAGGTCTGGACCACTTTCCTGTAGCGCCCGCTCCTCGTCCTCAGCCGCTCTTGACAGCCCCGAGGCCCCGCTCCAAATTGTTTGTGCGAGAGCGTCGGACCCCTGGGTGGGTCTGCCCGTGGGTAGAAGCATGCAGCACGAAGGCGCGCTGGAAGCAGGTGGGGCCTCCGCCCGCCCCCTGAGAAGGGCGCAGAAGAGCGACCCCCCTCGATCACCGAAGCAGGAGGGCGCCTACAGCAGATCGGGGCCCGAGGACCAACAAATGCCTGCTCTCAACAACAACGACGGGCATACCCGCTGTCGCTCGAACGTCCAATCCCCGTACATGTTTCGGCTTCGTGCGCCTGGCTAAAAGGGGATGATGTCATAGATTTGGGGCAATTTTATTGCATATCCTTTACGCCGAATGATCTTCTTGAATGGTATTGCAACCGACGCATTTGCACGTGAAAATCCAGCAGTACATCTGCGCACTGGAATGTATTGCATGCCCCAAAAATCGATCGCAGACCCCCCGATAATCTACTGCACCAGACCTATTGGACCACCTTCTTTTCGCTGGACCCCCTTCTGAGTCAAGCAGGTACAGGTCTGGAAGACCACGTGTGGGCCACCAGGTCTGGCTGGACCTCTTCCCCGGGACCGGTTTTTCTTCCTGAGTCGTCTTTTGACAGTGCCGAGGCCCGCTGGGGGCCCCGGGAGGCCGAAAACGGCGAACAAAACTCCCGTCGCATTTTTTTCAGAACGCGGGCGAGGAGGAGCAGGAGGAGGAGGAGAAGGAGGAGGAGGAGGAGGACGACGAAGAGGAGGACGAGGAGGAGGAGGAGGAGGAGGAGGAGGACGAGGAGGAGGTTGAGGAGGAGGAGGAGGAGGAGGAGGAGGAGGAGGAGGAGGAGGCAGTCCACGTGTTGGCCCTCTGGGAGGCCCGGGGCAGAGGTCCGGCAGAGGTCCGGCGGCGGGAGCCTGGGCGGCGCAGCGCGGAGCGCGCTCGGCGGCACCAGCGGCAGCCCGGAGGGCCTGGGGCGCTACGGCACCGATGGCTCGCCGTCGCTCGGGCGTCGTGGGGAGGGGGAGCGAGGAGGAGGAGGAGGAGGAGGAGGAGGAGGAGGAGGAGCGTGGAGCGTGGAGCGTGGAGCGTGGAGGAAGAGGAGGAGGAGGAGGAGGACCGTGGAGGAGGAGGACCGTGGAGGAGGAGGAGGAGGAGGAGGAGGAGGAGGAGGAGGAGGGACGGCCAGGACGAGCATGAGTACGTTCCAGAGAGTTTCGGAACGCTCTCAGAGCGTTGCGGAACGCTCCGAATTACGGCGCCGTGCCATTTTCGGCTTCGTGTGTGCGTTTTGTCGCGAGATGATTCAAGAGGCTCCCTCGCCGAGAGAAAACGCACACGTCCGAGCGATGCCAAGAGGACAGCGCCCCCCCCCTGACCTTCCAGGAGGGCTAAGCCAGGAGGGCTAAAAGATAGCACCATGACCTGGACACCTGAACTCCGCTCGAGGTTTTAGTTAGGCTAGGCAGTACAGATAAGGCTAGACGTCTGGAGGGCTAGATTTGAGCAGTCTGGAAGGTCAGGGCATACCCCTTACCCCCCCGCCAGGATCCCCACCCCCAGCCTGGTGATCCAGGGGGTCCCAGCTCAGGGTGGGGGTGTTCTTGGAAGGTTCGTGGGGGCCAGAACCGCCCCCACTCCAAGCCTGGCCCTCAGGCCGTCAGAGAACGGCTGGATCCGGGAAGGGAACCAAGGGAACCAAGCCTCTGGAATTGAGGGATGCAGAATCGTCCCTACCCTGGGTTACAAGAGCGTGGTCCGTAAACCTCCTGGGAGCTCCCAAAAGCCGGAGAGCCGCCAGGACGCCGCGCGACACGCGCGATATGCAGAGTTTACCCTGTCAGCTCACAGGAGGTTCAGCGCACAGCGCCTCGTAAACCAGGGTAGGGGCATTTGTTACGCCGTTGATGGAAGTCACAATGTGAAAGAAGACGCGACTTCGGATAGATATGTTCCAATGGGATGTTTCTGTGCGTTCAGAGAGGGTGACCGCGTATTGAAATCCCTGGCTCCTCGTGGTGGTCCGTACACAGCCACCCTCCCCTGAGGGCAAGCAGCAATCAACTCGAGGGGGGGAGAAAAGGCATACTAGTAACATGTGCTTCTGCTGTGAGCGCGCGACCCACCCGATCACAGATTTCCGAATCATCCTGTGGTGTTGCTCATCTTGAAGAGAGCACCCCGCGTTCCACCTTCCTCCGTGTTCCTTCATCCTCTCCCTCCTTCCCCATTCCTCTTCCTTATGAAAAACTCCTCCGTGCTGCAGCACCCCGGGGCCGGTCGACGACTTCCTCGCCACTCATGATCCTGCAGCTTGAATTTTGCAAGAGCTTCACGGATGGAGGGCGATCTGCTTTCAAAATGTGGCTCTCGCATTAGCGCCGCGCACCCTGGTTTATTACAATTTGCACGAGCATCACGGATGGAGGGCGGTCCGCTTTTAAGATGTGGCTCTCGCTTCAGCGCCGCGCACACCCGTCTGAACAATTTGGAAAAGGTTTCACGGCTAGAGGGCGGCTCTTCTTCGAAATATGGCTCTCGCCTTAGCGTCGCGCACATTCGGCGTAAAAGTTTGCAGGAGTTTCATGGGTGAAGGCAGCTCTTTTTCAAAATCTTGCTCTCGCCTTAGCGCCTCGCAAATACGTGATTAAGAGTTTGCAAGGTTTCCAGGATTCTCATGGTGAGCGTCGCCGAACACTGCTTTAGCACAAGGTCGAAATGTCAAGGCGCAACAGTCACGTTGATTCGAGGTGTTGAAGTCCCAGAAATGGCGTCCTGGCTCGATTCAGGATCGTCAAGACGCAATAAACGGTGATTCGCTGCGCTTGTAATCCCAAGGATGGCGTTCTGGCGCACGTGCAGACGTTCACACGGTCGTCTTAAAGCTGGGCATGTCCTCCTTCCATGAAATCCGTGTACGAGCCTACGAAGGGGGAACTTGGGTGGAGGGCGTATTGCAATATCGCTGAGTGGTCTTAGGTTTACACTGATTCTCCTTCTCGTCCTTCTCTCCTCCTCCCCCTCCTCCCTCATCCCATTCCTGCCTCTGCCCTCCGCATGTCAATCATGTCGGCATGCCTCTCACGCGTTTCGTGGGCCCTTGAGGAGCTCCACCGACGGCCCGAGCGGCACAATCCGCTGGCATACCTGCACACGGCTCAGCATACACCTCAAACGTTTCATGACCCCATGGGGAGCTCCATCGAAGGCCCTAGCAGCAAGGTCCGCATGGCGTACCCGCACCCGACTCGGCACACACCTCACACGTTTCGTGGTCCCATGCGGAGCTCCACCGACGGCCCCAGCGACAGGGTTCGCATGGCGTACCCGTACCCGATTCGGCGCACCCCTCACGCGTTCTGTGGCCTCATGGGAAGCTACACCGAAGTCCCCAACGGCAAAGTCTACATGGCGCACCCGCATACGATTGGACGCACCCGTTACATGTTCCGCGGCCCCACAGGGAGCTCCACCGAAGGCCCCAGCGGCAAGGTACGCATGGCGTACCCACACCCGACTCGGCACAGCCCTCACACGTTTCGTGGCCCCGCAAGGAGCTCCACCGAAGGCCCCAACGGCAAAGCCCGCATGGCGCACCCGCACCCGATTTGGTACACCCCTCACACGTTCCGTGGCTCCATAGGGAACTCCACCGAAGGCCCCAGCGACAGGGCCCGCATGGCGCACCCGCACCCGATTCGGCACACACCCCTCAGACGTGTCGTGGCCCCACAAGGAGCTCCATCGAAGGCCACAACGGCAAGGTCCCCATGGCGTACCCGCACCCAACTCGGCTCACCCCTCACACGGGCCGTGGCCCCAGAAGGGGGCTCCGCCGACGGCCCTAGCGGCAAGGTCCGCATGGCGTACCCGCACCCAACTCGGCTCACCCCTCACACGGGCCGTGGCCCCACAGGGAGGCCCCGTCCAAGGCCCAAGTGGCAGGGTCCGCATGGCGCACCCGCCCCATGTCGGCACAACCCTCGCCCCGCCTCATGGCGCACCCGCCCCTCGTCCCTCCCTCGGCCCGCACCTCGGCCCCATGGCGCACCCGCGCCTCCCTCGTCTTTCGCCCCTCGCCCCTCCCTCGCCCCTTGCAGTGGCATGTCGGCACCCCCCTCTCCCCTCCCTCCCTGCTCCTGTTCACTTGCCTCGCGGTCCCCGCAGCTTCTAATGGTTGGGCTCCTCGCCATCGGGGATCTTCTGACCCAGGTCAATCCAGACCCGGGTCAGCAGGAAACCAAAAACTGCAATGCAGGAACCAAAAACTGCAACGCAGGTCTTCGCAAACCCGGGTCAGCCAATACGAGCGGCCGCCTCGCGGCCACGAGCGGCTCGCTAACCCGGGTCAGCCAGAGGGGGCCTTCGCAGGATCCTGCAGGATCTGGCGCTCTGGCTGACCCCCGTTTGCACTGACCCCCGTCTCTTAGGCCCCGCCAGGGCTTCTGTTTTCGACCGGGACACGCAGTACGCACCTCTTGAAGTATGCCCAGCGGTCGGGCCAGAACACGCCTGCCACGTTTCGATGCGCGCATCGCCCCTGCGGATTCGACGCACACATAGCACAAGCGTATGTCTGAGCCCAGCGTGCACACTTTGTGTGGCGGCGGGGCCTCGGCGCGTTGATGGCGCTGGGAGGCACAAAGGGCAGCCCCGTCGGCCTCTTGTGGGCGAACACATATCCGTACCGCGGCCTCGCGGGCCGGGCCCTTGGGCCGCGACCCTCCGGATGCGGGACGCTTTCTCGCGGAAGCCCCCGCGCGGAACGTGCATCCGTGCGGTACCTCGTATCCGCGGGATCGCGCCCCGGAATCCAGACCGCGAGGGCGCGGACACGGACCCTGGCCTTCCAGAGAGCTAAAAAATAACCCTCCGGACCTGTAGACCTACCCGGACTGCCTAGGAGACATCGACTGGAATTCGGTCGTCGATGCCCTGGTGCTATTTTTTGGCCCTGCTGGAAGGTCTTGGGAGGAGACCGCCGCTCGTGGGGCCTCGGCGCATTGATGGCGCTGGGGGGCACAAAGGGCAGCCCCGAAGGCTTCTTCGGGATGTCCGCGGAGGCCGTCAGCGCCAGCACCTCGCCGGGCGGCCTCGGGGCCGGCGCGAGGGGCGCGTGCGCGGGGAGGCGGAATGGTGAGCGGACGGGGCCCTCAACGCTAGCGGGAGGACGAGGCCGAGGAGGACGAGGGGGACGAGGGGGACGAGGGGGACGAGGGGGACGAGGAGGACGAGGACGAGGAGGACGAGGGGGACGAGGGGGACGAGGAGGACGAGGGCGAGGGCAGGGACGAGGAGGACGAGGACGAGGGCGCGGCCGACCCTCCGACGAGGGCGAGGGCGAGGAGGAGAGAGAGAGGGCTCGGCGAACGGGGGCCGGAGACCCGGGGGAGCTGGGGGCGGAGGGAGAGCTCGGGGAGGAGGAGGAAGAGAACGAGGCCGAGGAGGACAAGCGAATCTCGAGGAGTCTCCCATGTAGAGGAAAGAGAACTATGCACATACACCGATTCTGGCCAGGCCCGTCCTGAGCCCAGGATTGGTGCATACGCCCTCCTACCTTGGCTAGGAAGGTATATGCACCGATCCTGGGTCAAGGATGGGCCTTGCCAGGATCGGTGCATGTGCATAGTTCCCTTCGCCCGACCATGGCAGTGTATGCTCGACGTCTCTTGATGCCACTCAGGACTCTGAGGGGGGGGGCCCAGCCACCTACACGATCGTCTCATGCGCCCGTCGGCGAGTTGCACGCACCCGCAAGGCGGGCACTGGTCCAGGCCTGTACCCTCCAAGGCAAACGCTCGCCTAGAGGCCGAGGAGGAGCGGAAAGTGTGAGCTGGAACCAGAGGAGCTGGAGGACGAGGAGCTGGAGGAGGACGACGAGGCGAACGTCGAGTGCGACGAGTCTGCAGGTGTCGACTGGCTGGGCTCCACACATGTCACATGGGGCCCCTGTCCACACATCATATAAACATCTGCGACCTCGGGTGCACATCAGAACGCCGTGGCGCTCACAGCTCAAAACACGACACGGGAGAAACATAAAGAGCGAATTTCTAACCTCTGGCAGTCCAGAGCCCCCCTGCACGAAAAGCATCAAATGTTACATCAAGAGATAGGGACCAGCAGAATTCAATTCCGCTCGAACCCTAGCCTCGAACCCTAGCCCCAAGGAGTCGTCCCCCCCGTCTTCGTAGTCGGGAGCAACCTCGAAAACGAACAACTCGGCAAACGGGTCGGCAAAATGGCCGCGCCCACACCAGGAACCGCGGGGGGGAGGGGGGGGCGACTCTACTAGGGGTGGCTGCTGCCCCAGCAGCACTAATTGGTGGGGTGAATTTGACAAGCTGGATATCAGTGTGTTCAGCTGTGCGGCCTGGGAAGAGAGGGCGTGCACTCTCGCGCGGTCGCCATATGGCCAGGACCACTCCATGCAGGACGACAGCCCGGACGATACGCTGCTGAGCCAGGAGCCGATGGGCCACGGGCAGGTCGTGAGCATCACACGCCGCAGAGGCTGCTTCGTCGGCTCCTCGAGTCAGAGCTTCTTGAATTACTGAAGGGGCCCCAGGACACACAAATAAATACACACAAATAAAAACATGATCCATGTTTCCCCATATGTTCTGG